CTGCTGCAAACTGACATACACAAGGCTCGCTCGAGCGAAAGAGTTGTCGCTCGAGTCACCAAACACAATAAGTGTCATCGCTCGAGCGCAAAAAGTGTCGCTCAAGCGCAGAATACAAATTCTCAGAAATTTTGCAGACAGAAGACCGTCGCTCGAGTGCAAGAGTTCTCGCTTGAGCGAACAACAACATCCTCCCAGTACCTCTACAAGCCTAAGAAAATACTGGAAGATCATAAAGCTCGCTCGAGCAAAAAAGTCAAAATCTGGGCAACATCAATCTAGACCAACTAGCAACCAACCTGTTCCAAACACGTCCAAGACATCCCAATACTCAAACTCAAAGAGTGAAAGGAAGAAAAGACATGGGTAAAAATATTATACCATGAAACCCAAGTCCGGAATGTAACAATAGTCGAGTCAAAACCGAGATCGCTATAGCTCTGGTTTCAGTTTTGGTTGAATTAATATAGTTAGTTTTATTGCTTTAAAAAAAAAAGCAAAAAGATAACACTAATACTATAAACTTAGACTTAAATATTTAGAAATTACTTAGAATTATCATCTTGTAATTCAGATTTATTCTACACATGAATCACACATTACATAAATTCAATCTTAACAATACAATCTTTATTCAGAATAAATTCAGAACACATAAATGGGATTCATGGCCCTTTTCTTTTGATAATGGATTTGTGGTAAAGTTGGAAGTGCGTCTAAATAAATGAGGTTGTTGGAGAGGGATGGTTTTAGAGATGGGTAATGTTAGGGATACCAAATTTTCTACCAAACAAATGACCAAATGTCTCACATGGGTGTGGGGTCCGCAATTTTGTGGGCCCCACACCTATGTGAGACATTTGGTCATTTATTTGGTAGAAAATTTAGGACCTCTAGCATTTTCCTTTAGGGATAGTTTTGTGTTGGTATGAGGATGGAAGGTGGAGGGAATGTTAAAATTATTTGATTGGTTGTATTTGTTCAATTCAATTTAATAAAAAAAGATGGGTAAAATTATAAATACATTCTTTCATATTTGTTTAAAACATAAATTACTATCTATGATTCTGAAAATTACATTTTACCCTGAATGTTTTTAATGTCATAACAAATGGTCCTTTTTATTAATAAACCATCAACTGAATTAATAGTTTTTAATAATATCATAAATATGTTTCAATTAATAATTATTATCTATCTATCTATCTATCTATACTATTATAAAGTGAACACATAACTCTTATGGTGTCCTGAAACTTTACTCTCCTCATGCCATGTGGCAGTATTTTTTATTATTTTTTTAAAAAAAGTTAAACAAAGAGATGGGTAAGACTTGAACCCATGACCATGGGTTTAAATACGAGAACTCATACCACTTAAGCTAAGTACACATTATAATATTAATTTCATTATTATTTCTTTTTATTCCTACTTATTTAAATTGCACACACATCGTGTGTGCCACCCACTAGTACTATTATAAAGTGAACAGGAATTTTGGTATCCTGAAGCTTTACTCTCCTCCTCATGCCATGTGGCAGTATTTTTTATTTTTTTAAAAAAAGTTAAACAAAGAGATGGGCAAGGCTTGAACCCATGACCATGGGTTTAAGTACGAGGACTCATACCACTTAAGCTAAGTACACATTATAATACCAATTTCATTATTATTTTTTTTTATTCCTACTTATTTAAATTGCACACACATCGTGTGTGCCACCCACTAGTTGTATAAGAGAGCAGTTATGAATTTTACCTTTTTAGTTAATTTTGTTGAATAAAAAATTATGACAAGGGGTATTTGTAATTTTACAAATCATAGAGAACAATCCGTATTTTAATCAAAAAAGATAAATTGTATGGATAAGTAGGTAAAAACTGTCAGTATTAATCTAAAATCATATGAAACAATTCGTATAGGAGAGCAATCTGTACCTTAAGGGGTGTATTTGTAATTTATCTAAAAAATTTAGAAAAGCATTGATTAGAGTATAAAGTATGATAAATTGTAAGGATAAATAGGTCAAAATTATTAGTATTAATTTAAAATATAAAATTATATTATTAAAATAATTAAGTTTAAAATTAAACATTCAAGTGCGAAATTCAAAACAATTAAACCCGTTGTCATCTTTTAGGAGACAATTTAATGGCAGTGCTATGGAGGGAGGTGACCACGGACGTGGGGATGGCTGGGTGAATTGGAAAAAATGTAGATGAGTTAGATTCAGTGGACTAAGTTAGTGGAAGAATTGTTGACATGTCCAAAATGTCTTTAAGAATTGGTTATGTGCATTGTATGTGATTATTTTATGTCTAAAAGTAAAATGATTGTTTTTAATTATACTTAATTGAAATAAAGTGAAAGATTCATGCCAAAATATATTATAATTAAAATTATAAAGGATAAAATTAACCTCGGGTGAAATTATACGACAACTGACAAAGTTGTCATTCATTTATTTTTTACTAGTATTAGGGGTGGATAACGGTTTATCCGAACCGTTCAAACTGCCTAATCCGTCCAACCTATATATAAATGGGCGATTTTACAAACATAATGCGGGCGGATTCGGTTTGAAATATGACAAATTTACGGGTTGCGGGTGGATCGCGGGTTAAACCCGCAACCTGCAAAAAACGCCCGCACTTTAATTATTATTATTATTTTTTTTTTATATACTAACTTTGTTAAAAGCACCATTATGTTCTCTATGACACTAAGATCTTTATTTTTAAGTATTTCTCAACTTTCTTAATGCCGTAGAATTATCAAGTCCTAAACTTGGTTTCTTATATGATTTTCATTGGTGACTCATCCACTTTTTTCTAATAAAATTTTCCTTCTGGTGGTCGATGGAGCTTCTAATTTGATTATTGATTACTGAACTGACAATTCTAATTGAGTACAACCTTTAATGCATTGATATACATTTTTTAATGCATTGATATACATTTTTTTCATGACAAAAATGCTAGTGTAGGGTCTCTTTGTTTTGGATACTTTCATTTAATGCATTGATATTCAATTTTTATTTGTAAACTCATCAGAAAATTGTTGTCAAATGATCACAAATATATAAAATGAATCTAATGCCTAAATTTGATGGAAAAAAAAAAAACTCAAAAATTAATTTTTAAAGAAAAAAGTATAAACCGTAAACCGACCGCAAACCGTGCGCACATTTGCAAACCCTATCCGCACAAATCGCAAATTGCACTGTGAGCGATTACGAATTGACTTTTTCTCAAACCACATAAATGCAGACGGATCAAAATCAAATCACAAACCACATAAAATCAATCCGCGAACATCCCTAACTAATATGTTATAGGATACATAAAAGATATACCCCACTAGTTTGATGATGACAGCTCAACGATGCAAATAGAACACATCCGAGCGCACTCTAAAACCCAAAATAGCCCGATATCAACCTGATATAAACAGAGAGATAATTGATTATTGCATACCTTAATCCTTGAGTATATAATAGAAGTGAAAATTGCACTTCAGTGAAAATTTCTAAAAAAAATTACAAATAGATAAAAAAAAGTTTATCAATTTCAATAATTAAACTTATAAGTTTTTGTATAAATTAATAAATATTTTGTAGAAGAGTGGTGTTACATCCCCTAATATATCACTCTTATTTTGACATCTAATGAGATGGAAGAGAAAGAGAATAAAGAGAGATAGAGACAAAAGATGATGAGTGAGGAGTGAGACTCATTTCACATCATTAAGGGTGCTCAATTAGAACTCTTAAGTATTTTTTTTTTTTAGAATTTTTTTTTTTTTTTTTTTGCAATTTTTCCATAATAGAATGTCCGTTCGGGTGAAGAAATTTTTTAGATGCTTCCTAGGATATTCTAGGGAATATATATTTGAGAAATGATTTTTCTCCCAAAAAATCATTCCCCCGAATCCTCCGAATCTGAATAAATCGAAGGCAAGAGAGAGAGCGGGAGAAAGAGAGAGGAGAGGAGAGAGGGAAACAGAGGGAGAGAAGAGGGAGTGGAGACAGAGAGAGGCCCCTGCATTCCGCCGATTGCCCAGTCGATCATCGCAGCTCGGCCGTCGCAGCCCGGCCGATCGTCACAGCTCGTCCGCCTCTGCCTTCGCCTGGCTGCCGTCGTCTCCGCCTCTGCCTCTCTCTTCTTCTTCTTCTCTTCTTCTTTCTTCTTCTTCTTCGTTTCTGATTGAACAAAAAAAAAATTAAAAATGCAAAAACGACGTCGTTTTTCAAATTCGGGTGATTCGGGGGGTTGGGTTTCGAGCTACCAATCACGGTTCTATATATTTTGACAATTTTTTTTTTTTTTAACAGTCTGTTGACATATTATTGCCCTTTAATCATTCTTATCATTCCTCTTGTTGACACAAATTATACTTAATTAATAATAAGATGTTGTCTCGTCACTAAAGCTAATTCTAAATATAGATATTGTGCTTATTTGGTGTAACATTTACAAATTTAAAGTTAAAAAGCCTAATTATATAAATAAGGATAACTTCTGAGAATAGACCTTATAAAGAGCTAAAGTCCCGGAGGTCACTCTTGAGTGGTTGTTATATAGCAGGATTACTCAACCATACAACAGTAAGTCACGAACTCGCACACAAGCAAAAATTCTGACCTACACTTCTAACACTGGGTAAAGTTAATAAGCTAAAAACATTTTTCTGCTTGTATTTCAATAATCAACTTATTTAAATTTATTTAAGTTATTTCTATCTCATAAGTTGTAATCAGAAATTGTACCAAATATTTTGACACAATTTTTTAAAACAGAATAAACTTTAATTAGCTCAATAAACTGCACCAAATAATTCTATTATTTGTGCGCATTATTTTCAAACAAAATTTCCTTAATAACAAAAAGAAAAAAGGCTAAATATAAGGTTTCTCATTTGTAAATGACAAAAGCATAAATAAATATTGTTTGTATAATAATACCTCTAACAATGAAAGATCAATAAATAGAGAGAGAGACATTTAAACTAACAGCCAAATGCATACACCACTGGATTCAAGAATCCTAAACCACCCTTCACTTCTCCAATTCTCTATAAATAAAACTGCAAATTCTTACTTTTCCAATTTGTATCTGAATTTAACAAAGTGAAATTTGAGCTAAAGGGATATGGATGCTCCATCCTCTGAATCCATGTCATACACTGATCATATCAAACGAAGGCATGAGGAGAAAGGCTGCCTCTATGCTTGGTCTGTATTGCCTCTCTCTCTCTCTCTCTCTTAAGTTCTACTTTTCTTTTTAATTATTCTTTTAAAATAATTAATTTAAATTAGAAATAGTTTGCATATATGTAATTTCGAAGTAAGTTATTAGATAAAAGAAATAAAGTGCACGAGTCTCCTACTATTAATTTTACTCCGTGTGAAAAAAATATTTTGTACTTTGAATTTTTGGAAGTGGGCGAAAGAGAGTCGTAGTCCTCTTAAGTTTTTAAAATTTTCGATTATCGCTTTAGTTTATGAATATTCTATAATTTTTGTAGAACAACAAAATATATTGATGATTTATTTCATGAATATTTCTATATATATATATATGATTAGTCTAACTATTTTACATATTATGTTATATTATTTATTTAATTGATATGAAAATGTCAGTTGTTATATTCCCGTTATAAAAATTGAAGAATTGTATTTTTTTTTTTTTATAAAAATTATATCCTCCAACAAAAACATCAAGACAAAAGTCTAATAAATTAAACACTAAGATCATGTTTGATTGCTGAAATATGTTGGAAAAGATTATGAATATGATAAGATTAAATGATAAAATTACTAGTGTTATAATATTATATTAGAGATATAAAATAAATTATTTTGGTTTGGTTAATATAGTTGAGTTGCCTCTCCATTCATAACTAATGGATTTTAAGGGCATATTTGATTGGATGGATTAGAGCATGGGATTGGGATTATTAATTTATGGGTCTAATTATCTTATGTTTGTTTTAACATTTTGGTTTAGGATTATTAATCTAATGGATAATTAATCTAACAAATTTGTAAGATTATTAGTAATGAGGTAAGGGTGGGATTATTAATCTAATTGAATAATGAATACCACATTAATTTAATAAAATTATTAATACTTCTCTATTAATCTTATAAACCAAACATGAGTTAAGTTGAATATTTTAATGGTATTAGAGTTGAACCTTAGGTGGCATACTGTGGGTCAAGTTCACGCCCGAGTTTATTCTCTTGCCTCCTTTCATCTGTCTGTCACCTCCACGTGTTGTCTCTCCAATTGATTTAAAAGTCTTCATTATATAAAAATGGGTTTTGTCATTTTTGCAAGTAGGGAAAAAAATGTCTTTTCATCTCTAAGCTCATGAGATTGTTAATCTCACCTTTACGGCCGTTTGTTTATTTTTAAAGGTGGAATGGATGTGATTGATATTGAAAAAATTAATAGTAAGAAGATTAAGTAAAATTATGTTTATTTTGATAATAATTGTTAGTGTAAGGATTGTTATATTATTTTTATATAAAAGAAATATAAAATAATAAAATAAATAAAAATATGATCATTACTTAACAAAAAAATACAAAAATATTAAACATTAATGTTCAAAAAAAATGCCCAACATATAAAAAAAAAAAATGGTTGAGCTAGAAGACTAATTTTATAATACTAAGTCTTTGGCCTCCATCTCAATCCTAACATCCAAGGCCCATCCTATTTCGGAGGGCTTATGAATCCTCTCTCCATCTCCCAAAACAAATACAATATTAGCGGGTCTCACCTCCATTTCAATCACATTCCTTCTTTCATCTCCCAAAACAAGCGGACCCTTAGGCCATGTTTGTTTTCCTGCTTCAGAGGCCAAATTAGCTTAGATTGGTTGTGGGTCCTATCCACAGCGTGTTTGGTGGTGATAGGAGAGGTTGGATTGATACTTCATTCGGTTTAGTAATCCCCCTCAGTGGATGGATTAGCTTAGCTTGGTAGAAGGTGGGATTAAAAAAATAATCTGAGGATTAGAGTGTGTCCGGTCGTTCGCCTAGACTTCTGACCGGAAGTCCAGTTATTTCTGAATTTTTTTATATTTGTTTTTAAATTTTTTTTTTACATAAAAATATACTCTTTTTTATTTTATACAAAAATAATTTAATAATCCTCTCATTAACAATTATCATCAAAACAAACAAACTTTTACTTAATCTCCTCACTAACAATTCTCACACTAACAATCTCTTCATTAACCATCTCTTCACTGACAATCTCATCTAATTTAACCCGCCAACCAAATGTGGCCTTCGAGGATTGATAGTCCCTTACTTCCGTGATTTTACTCCGACCAAACGTGTTTTTGTTGGCCCAAGAATAGTTAAATCAATTCCATCTTAATTACATCACTCAAAAATTATATAAAAAAAAAGAAAATTTACCCATAAGTCTTAGTTTTTAAAAAGTTGAACCATTTAGTCCTAAAAGTTTTCTTATGTTCCATTTAGTCTCATTTGCACATCAATCTAATGTTTGAAACATTAATCTGATATTCGAAATCTAATGTTCGAAACATTAATCTGATGTTTGAAACATTGTAATGGGACCTTTCAGTCTATAAGAAAACTTTTAGGACTAAATAGTGTATAAGTTATTAATTTGGAATTTATTGGTGTATCCCCTTAAAAAAAATTGTGATAATTATTAAAAAAATCTTTGATATATATAATTTTTTTTTATAACACTTTTCCAAGAGCTAACCTTTTTTTGGGAGGGGAAATATCAAATCAATGAAATTTTAGAAAAATAATTACAAATCAATAAAAAAATTTATAAATATTAACAAGTATAATTATAATTATAAATTTTTTTTATAAATATATAATTATTTTTTCAAAATTCCACTAAGACGCAATTACCTATTTCTTTTGCCCCTTCATTGCACTTTCCTTTCTCTCCTCTTAAAAAAAAAATAATGATAGAGATTTCAAAAATTCTATCAAAAATAAGGGCTAATAACTCTTATAATTTGACGCAAGTTTCATTTTAGTTCTTATTATTTTAAATTGAACAATTTACGTGTATTTTAAACCTAATTTCAATTAGTCTCCTAAGATATACACGTAGGAAAAATAATGGAAATTTGTACAGAATGACCAAATTAAAACTGGACTTAAAGTATACGGACTAAATTGTTCAAATTAAAACTATAAAGATCAAAGTAAAATCTGAGTCAAATTATTAAGGTAAAAAGTCTAATTAATCCAAAAAATAATAATAATTTTGAGCAACAATAGCGATTAAGCATGGGATATTTTATGGTACCATCCCTTTTGGGGGTGTCCCATATGCCCTTAATTACAACCTTTGTAGTCTTTGATGTGATTTATTGGGGTGTTAGTTATGACTTGTTTATACACATTGTTGCATAAATGATGATTCAATATGATATTGGTTATGGTATTATTTTGATTATGATTCAAAAAAATTATTATACCCGCTGTGATGTTTGATTATAACTATTTTGTTTTTTTCAATTATGACTCGTAAAAGATTTAAGTCATGACATTTGTGATTACCAACCTTGCATATACCATAGCATTACCCTAAGGAGATCTGTTTTGAAAAATCAACTATGGGAAAAAAAAAAAATGTTGAGTTTTATTTATGCCAGAAGTATTCTTTCATTGCATGATTGTATCATGATGTTGTTGTGCATTTAATATTTTTGGATGCAGTTTATTCACCATGTGTTGCTGCTTTTGTTGCTACGAGACTTGCCAGTGCTGTTTGGACATTCTCTGTTGTAAATGCTTCTAATTTATTTATGTACTAGTTATTATTTATTGGAGTGTGTTCCATGTATGTGAGTGTGTTTCTCACCCTACTTTATCTTTATTTTTATGGTTTTTCTGTTGTATTTGATCACCTTGAGTGATCTAGCTAGCTAATGAGTGTGCATGCTGAGTGAATTTGTAAATTTGTAATTGTGTGAAATTACTTTTACAAGTTTTGGGTTACAAGTTTACGACTTTAATATATTCAGACTGTTGAATAATATAATGTATTCATATTTCATACCACTTTTCATGTTTCATGGGGGAGCTTTTTTTTTCTCCAATCTTATATTTTCTATTAAAAAAAATAAGGTTTTACACAAATAGTTTAAGCATAACTTACAAATACACCCCTTAAAATTTATTAAAATACAAAATCTCCTTTCATGTTTGAGAAATTATAGCTTACCTTTTGAGATTTCTAATCGCATAACAAATAGGCATCTCCGATAATGAATTGTCGGATTAACAAAGTGTGTGACGTAAGCAACACACTTTTTTTTCAAAAATACCTATAGAAATCTTTATGAAGTTAAATACTTTTTTTTTTCTTTTTTTATCTCGCCTTTCTTATTTCTCATTTTCACTCAATTAGCAATACCACTTTGTCCAACCATCACACAACCTTCCACTCTCGATTAGCACTATCATCATTCTTGCCTACAAGCATTTGATGTGTTGTTGAAAAGAGTTGGAGAATATTATGGTGGTGTTGAGAAAGGAATTTGGTAGTGGGTGGATGAAAATGAGAATAGTATAATAATTTCTTTTTGTTATTAGAGGGTATTTGGGTAATTTTAATTTTTCATGTTAGGTCAATTGAAGAAAAAAAATCTGATAATGGAATATTTATAATTTTCAAAATATGATAAGAGAATTCATAATTTTGATAAATCTCTAGAGTGTATTTATAGTTTACTCATAATTTAAATATCTTTTTAATATTGTTAATTGAACACTCTACGTTATTTATTTAACACTATCATATTCAATGTTTTTATGTTAACACAACTTTCATATTTCTATGCTTTAAAATGGTTTGAGACCTTACATTGATATGATTTTATTTTTGACCAATCAAAATTGTACTTTAAATTCTTGAAAAAATTGCATCGCAATGTGAAATCATTTGGGCAATCTTGCTAATTTTCATATGTGGCCCATCCATTGTAGGGAATTGAGTGATAAATGCAGTGAAAAAATAGAATATATATCCATAATGGATCACACCTTTGAGCATGACCATATTATAGCTTTCAAATATATGAAAGAATTGGGGCATCCTATAAATAACACTAATAGCTCACCGATTCCCATTAAATATGTATAAGAAAAATAAAAAGTAATAACTCACTGATACCTATGGAAAGGATTCATCTGTACTTGAAATTTATTTTTATTTTTATTTTTTTGGAAAAATTACAGAAATAAAATAAACAAATAAACAAATAAATAAATAAAACTAAGGATTTTAGTCTTGTAATAAAATAAATTTTTAATTTAAACCATAATCATTTGATTTGTTTTTAATTTAAATTATTTTTCTATTTTTGTTAAATAAATTGATAAAAAAATAATATTTAATCATTAAATTTAATAAAAATGATATTTTAGATATTTTTTATATACTTATATTGAGTATAATTAACGAAAATTAGTTTAGATTAAAAATAGATCAAAAGATTAGAATTTAAATTGATAAAATTAAAAATTTAAGGGTGAAGCACCAATAAATCTCAAAATATGATCTTGTAAACTGTTTAGTCCTCCATTTTTTCTTATAAACCCAAAAGTCCCATTAAATTGAAAATTATACAAAATGGTAGTCACTTACACATATGGGTTTAATTTTTTAGGAATAAAAATGGATTTCTCTAAATGTGAAATTACAGATTTGGACAATCCACACTATAGAGATTTTGGATTTTTCTTCCTTCTGAAACAAATCTCACATTACGAACAAGAATATAATACTCTAATATAATACTCTAATAACGTAACACTCTAATGTAACACACTAAAAAACTCTTTAGTATATTTTTTCCAAACATAACACTCCAAACTTTTCCCAAACACAACACTTCAATTTAACACACTCTATATAGCACACAAAAAAACTCCTTAATGTACTCTTTCCAAACGTAACACTTTTTCAAACGTAACTCTTCAATATAACTCCAAAAAAAAAAAAACTTCGTAGTGTACTTTTTCCAAACGTAACGCTCTAATTAATGTAATGTCAAACGTGACACTCTAATATAACACACAAAAACATTAAAAAAAACTCTTTCATATACTTTTCCAAGCGTAACACTCACAGTTTGAAATTATACATTTGCTCAAAACTTACTACGAAATTTTTGTACTCCTTTTCAAATGATTTGAAGAATCTCATATCCTTTTTTTGGAGCGTTACATTTAGAAAAAATACACTAAAGAGTTTTTTTTTTTAGTGTTACGTTGGAGTGTTACACTAAGTAGTTTTTTTTTTTTTTTTTTTTTTTTTTTGTTAGTATGAAGTTTGGAATAAGTATACTAAGAATTTTTTTTTGAAATCTTACATTAGAGTGTTACACTAATAAATTTTTTTTAGAGTGTTACATTTGAGTGTTACGTTTGGAAAAAAATATATTAACGAGTTTTTTTGAAGTATTACATTTGAGGATTATGTTTGGAAAACGTATACTAGGAGTTATTTTTTGGAGTGTTACATTTGAGTGTTACGTTTGGAAAAAATATATTAAGGAATTTTTTTAAATCTTACATTTAAGTGTTACACTAAGGAGTTTTTTTTTTAACGTTTCATTTGAGTGTTACGTTTGAAAAAGTATACTAAAGAGTTTTTTTGAAGTCTTACATTGGAGTGTTATGTTTGAGTGTTACATTGGAGTGTTATAGTTTAAATTATACATTTGTCCAAAACTTACTAATGAGTTTTTGTATTCCTTTTGAAATGTTTGAAGAATCCCACATTTCAAATCATTTACAATAATTTTGAAATGTTTGAAAAATCTCACATTTCAAGTCATTCAAAATAAAAAAGATTCTCATATAAAAGTTAATTCCAAATTTGATTCCCATAAATTGTGTATTTTACCTTTCTAGCATAATAAAAATAAAAAAAAATAAAAATAAAAATACATAATAGAAATAAGAAATCTAATTTTCAAATAATATATTAAATCTCTCTTTTCAAAATCAATAAGACTAATTGGTCTATAAAAAAACTCTTAGGATTAAACGGATCACCATTTCTGAAGATGAGTTTTATAGGTAAATTTTCCAAAATTTAAAGCTTATTTTGTTTTAAGATTTAAACCTTGTGTTTTTTTTTTTTTTGTTTTTTTTTTTTTGGTTAAATTTTCCTAATTTGTTTTTTTTTTTTTTTTTTTTTTGCCACCAAAGAATCTAAATTAAATAATAATGGGGCAGCCTTCTCTTCAGTTTAAGAGGGGACTAGAACGTGCTTTTGGGACTACAGAGGATTATCATGGGTCCTGTTTCGATAATTCGAACCATGTAATGTATAGAACTCGTCTAGTATTTTATTCCTATAAAAAATCACGTTGATCGGATATCGATAACTATTTGATCTGATTGGATTTCTGTCAACGGTAAATATAATTTTCAAAATAAAATTGTAAACAAATATCTAATCCGATCAAGTAGCTATCGATATCCAATCAACGTTATTTTTCACAGAAATAAAGTACTTAACGAGCTTTACACATTAAACGGTTTGGATTATCGAAATAGGATCCTTGGTAAATTCCACAAGCCTAATAATACCATCTAATTTATAAAATAGACTGGAGACAAGTCTTACCCATTAATAATAACACTACACACGTCATTGAATCCAAAAGGATCCAAACTGTTTTTAGTTGGGTATTTTAACCGGATGTTCCCGTCCAACCCATTTTAGGCTTATTATTCGATAATTCAAGGAGTAGTTCATTTATGTAAAAAATCACATGAATTAAATATTAATGGTCACTTGATCAAATAACAATTATACTTAGTATTGACACAAATTTGATTCAATTAAGTGGCTATCAATATTCGATCAATGTAATTATTTGCAGAGATAAAATACTCAACGAGTCCTCCACATTAAACGGTTAGAATTATTGATGTAAGTTTTATAGTGAGTTCACAGAAATTCAAAAATATGCTCCAATTTGATTTCGGGCTAGAGATGCCAATCTAAAATTCTCTATGCTCTTTCCTCGTAATCATTTATTGCTTCTCAAGTATCGATTATCAAAACTTAATAGGTTAGTTTTTTTAAAAAAAATGAGTTGTATTATGAAATATAAGTTATCAAAAAGAAATTTAAAAATTTGTTTGGTTATGAGTTTTGAAAATTAATTTTGGATGATTTATATTTTTTTTTTTCAAAAATGTTTGAGAGCTCTAGGGGGTGGATCTCATCCATTGATGTGATGTTTTGATTTTTTTTTTCCCTTGACATATCATTAGAACTCAATTAGAGTTTCAAAATTAGAAAGATATATCATTGTTCTCTTTTTTTATAATTGAATAGATAAATGTGAGAGAAAATTTGATTAATTAATATGTATATATATAATATGAAAGGAGAGAGGAGAGAGGAGAGAGGACAGAGGAGAAATAAAATGTGATTGATTGATTTATTAATAAAAATATATATAAGAGAGAGAGAGAGAGAAAAAGAGAGAGAGAGAGAGAGAGAAATAATTTTGAAAAGAGTTTTAAAATTGATAAATCAAATAAATTTTTTAATTTTTTGATCCAAATATTAATTTAAAAATTAAACCAAACGGTACCAATAATTCTTTGCAACACGTTTACAATATTGAAGACAAATTAGTGCGTTTGGTTTCAGTTTTTTTAATTTAATTTTCTAAAAATTGAGTTTTTATTTAGTTTTCGTATTTTTTTGTTTTTAGTGAATATTTTTAAAATTTTAAGTAATTTTTTTACTTTTTTAGATGCACCTTACTTAAATATTTTTAAATAATAAAATATTTATGAAAGAATATTTTTAAAAATTAATAAATTGATAAAAATACGAAAAATACACTGAATTTTTTTTTTTTTTTATATAGTGTAGTTCTTTAAAGATTTTTTTCATAAAATATTATACCTTTTAAGTGTATTTATATTAAGCTTATTTAAAAATTAAAAAATATATTTAAAATCTTAAAAAAATTATTTAAAATACTAAAATATGAAAAATAAAAAACTAAATTTTTTTAAAAATTATTTTCTGAAAATCAAAACCAACAAAATGAATGTTTCTCCTACCTAGCGGCTGGTTTGTCGAAGAAAACCCATTGGAAACAAACCAAGTAACATACACCAAAATGTCAATTGAACCGTATGACTCCCAAAAGATCAAAATAAACTAATAATTATTTTTTTCCATGGACAGAAAAACCCAACATCACTTGCAACAGGGCAGTCTCTTCCCAGACAAACATGATACTTGTCTAAAAGGTAAATTATAAATACATCCCCAAATTTGCTTAAAATATAAATTATCGTATTTGGTTTAAAAAATTATGGTAACATTTGGTAGAATTTTCTAAATATAATTTGAGAATAGAAATTGTATTTTGAGTTTGTAAGTTTTGAAATAATGATTTGAGTGTAGAAAGTTTATTTGATGAAAGAGTTTTGAAAAGAGTTTTGAATTGAGTTAAAAAATTTTGATGTGACAAATATATCTGATACAAAAAATTACAACTCATAACCAAACACACAACTCAAAAATTTATTAAACGCTCATAAAAAAAATTTTAAAAATTCCAAAAATATTGTTTTATTAAAAAAAAAACAAAAACAAGTGCCAATTGCAGCAAAAAAAAAAAAAAAAAAAAAAAAAAAAAAATCGCACTTGGTCAACCGGCCTGACGTCCAGGGGAACGACCGGTAGGCAAAATTTCAAAATTTAAAAGCCCACCTGAAACGAATTTTCAAAAGGAGCGGTGGAATTAATTTTTCAAAACTCAAACCAAACATCATACTAAAATGTAGGGATAGAACTATGATTCCAAAACCGTTCCAAGCATAGTCTATAAATACTTCATTGTTAGTATTTTTCATTTAATAGAATTAACTAAAAAAATAAAATTCATAATTGCTCTCTTATACAATAATAAAATTACCTAAATTATTAATTGAAACATATTTCTAACCTCATTAAAAACTGTTAATTGACTTGATAATTTATTAACAGAAGGGGCGATTTGTTATGAAATTAAAAATCTCAGTGGGTGAAATGTAATTTTCAAAACCACAAGAGACGATTCGTATTTTAATTAAATCTCATAAGGTGTATTTGTAATTTATCATTGTCTAAAAGGATTTTTTTTTTTTTTTTTTTTTTTTTACGCCTCATAATTCTCAATTATCAATTACAATGCACTTACAACCACAACCTGAAAACAAAGAGGAGACTGTCTTGGGGACTTAAGAAAATAATATGGAAATCAAATTGCAAAAGAACCATAAAACAAATACTTTAGAAGGCAAATCAAATTTATTGTTGTAATTGCTATTGTGTATTAGATTAGGAAAAAAGAAGGGAGTGTATATGCATTTCATTAAACAATTAGTATAATGTAATCATCATTTCATCTGCATTGTGTTTCAATCAGATGTAAATTTGACTACTTTTCCCAAAAGATAAATAATGCTCTTTCCGAATGTATATGCCCATTCCAATGACATTCTACAAGAATCAAAAATGGCTTCCCTGCAAACAGTACTCATCACCTAGTTACCAAGGATAGTATTCCTTCCTTCATCGATTTCAACCACAAAGAGACGTTCTGGATCTGACCCGTTTGGTCCCTCAGAGTATAGTGTAGGGAGATAAGCCTTGTATGCAGGCAAATACCGAGAAACAAAGTCCATAACCTGAAATAACCCCATTATCAAACCTTCAAATTCAAAGTTTCTTTGAATCATTGAAATATGACGTTCAATAAGAGTTAAAATAGTCCCACCTCCTCATCAGACATCCCGGGCTTTCCATCTGCCCTCATGGCGATCTCTGCCTGCAAATTCCCCACGACTAGTTACACAAGTATTGCACGGGATAATAATTTTTTGATCTGCAAAAGCATGTTAACACAATGGCCAACCTGCAATCGCCACTGGTAGACACAACTAGGGTCTTTAATCTTGATAACTATCCATGCTTTTATGAACTTGTCCCAAGCGTCATAATAAGCTTCTAGGTTTTTGTTCACTATCTCCAGCTGTAAAAATAAGCTTCAAGTTGAGTTAAAATGGCCCCCTTCAGAGTAACATAAGAGACAATCTGTAACAAACAGAAACTAGATGTGCCTCTAGATATAGATTTTGAGAACTCAGACCTGTGGATCGACAGCTTTGACAGCTTCAACTGGAAGAGGTCTAAAGCCCAGCATCCAACCCTCAAACAGAACAACCTAAATGACAGCCAAAAGAATAATAACGGTGAGGACACCAGAATTTAGAGCTTTTCCCGCAGAAAGAGTAGGCTAGGAATGTAACCTGAACCCACAAGCCAACCACACAGACCCAACAATCAAATGTTAATTGGACCCCTAGGCCAATTGGTCGATGTCCAATATATAAAAAATAATAATCAATATTTTATTTTAATTCATTAAAATGTTAATATATTTATTGAGTTGCTGCGGATGGAAGATGATGTGTGAGGCATAATTTTCAACACATTCAAATTTTAACACCTAGGGTCTGCTTGAATGGATGTGGAATAGAAAAGCATGGATTTGACATTAATAATTCAAGGAGAACAACTCAAATTTAGATTTAATAGTTTACCTATGAATTTCAAGATTGAATTAAATAGTTTTATAATTTGAAATAATTATATAAAAGTAGTTATTTGAAATCTCATGCTAAGAATTCTCTTCTAGCCACAAGGATCCTACTAAAATACATCTCTTCTATCTGAACTTATCTTCTTCTATAACTTTTCTGTTCACCAACAATAGCTAACTTTCCAATATTGTTAACCTCAAATCCCTTGATTTAAAATCCACATCCATCCAAACGGACCCCTATTGCTATTGCATGCTATAAGTTGAAGATCCTCCTTACCGTTAGAGGCCCTTCAACTTCTGGCCATGTTGAAGGATCAGCTCTGTCACCCCTTCCACTGTTTGCAGACTGCATAACAGAGCAATTATGATAAGCACCTTAAACTGAAAGGACGAAAGTTGAAAACAAGCATGTGCAGTGATGCTGGGAGCTTTACTTTATCATATCGGGGTAGCTTCATCTTCATACCTGACAAGTACAGACAAATAATTCATTTCCCACTACATATATGGTAACCTATCAAAAAACAAAATAAGAACATAATGCAAAGAAAAACAAATGAAGGAAAACCACCAACCTTCTTTAGTCAGTTTGCTTAAAGCAGTCAGTGTTTCAACAGACAATGAAAGATCATGGCTTCCCGCATTTCCACGAAACTGCAGGTGAGCAAATAATCTCCATTACCCAGTTATTAATGAGGGCTACCTAATCTCTCGAGTTAAGAGATTTTAGAATGAAAAGTGTTAATTGCTACCTCTAGAAGTCCATTTTTTGGATTGTTTTCTCTTAGCTTAGCCTATAATCAAAGTGAAATTACATCAGAAAATGCAAAAACAAAGAAGGGAAGCAAGGGCCAGAGATTCCATTGAATACGTTTTACCTGATCCGCTGCAGTCAAGTAGAAATCATCAATGGATATAGTAGCAGACTTCCTGAGATTTAACACGAATCAATAGTAACAAATTTCTTTATTTTGTTATTATTTCATTCGTACTATTGACAAGATTGCATCTACACAGAAAATATGATCATTTCTGCAATCTACCTCCCAGTGATTTGGAAAAGATAATCTAGAGCAAAGACAAGTGTAGTCTTTCCACAACCTTGCGGAGCACTAAAACCAATCTGCATCACAAAAAGATGCCAGAATAGCAGTTCACACATTTTCCTATCTTTTATAATTTTCTCTAGCTTTCCAACAAAAATAAATAAAAATAGAATTGAATAGCTACGCATGTCTGGGGGAAAAATAAAATCCAAACATCTTATTTATACCACTAAAGGAGTGACGTCTTCTCCATCTTTAAATGTGGAACTGTGAAGAGAAATCTGTTGTTCGCACCATAAGAAGACTGGTATATAGTAGTGATAAAGCCTAGCTTTCTGAGGTATTGTCAAGTAGAGTTCATTGAGTTGAAACAATCTGCAAAGATGCAATCCATACTCTAACCACTTGTTAATGGACTCAGCCACCATCTCCATGGTCAGACCCAACTTGTTTAAAAGGGGACCGGAACATATAAATTCAAAAAGGTCCTCTACAGATGAAACTGCGGCAGGTTTGGTGGGAAACACGGAATGCAATGGGCATTGCCTCCTTCCATTGTCGGCAATAGTGTCAGGGCATTTGGAGTTGTCTTGTATCCATGAACATCCAAGGCCTGCTAGAATAATTTGGAAGTACATTTAAATAAATTTTACTTCATTAGCATTTGATAAAAGAACTCTACAGCTAGAATGTGTCTATGAAAGAATAATAGGTACAAACAAAATCAATATCAGTTTTCTCTAAATGAAAAAATTCAAAAAAATTCCAACATAATAGGCAAAATGAAATGGCCACCCTGTCTCTAACTTGGTTAGTGTTATTTACATATTTACATATTCTGTGGCACACATTTGTCACAAAATGCATTCTATAAGTATGTCAAATATACATTTTATTACAACACTTAAACTCTACATTATGTATCTCTACATTATGTATCATGGTTTGATACAAATATTTATAAATATTTCAAACACACATTAATGTGTACCAATTGGGCCTTTTTTTTTTTTTTGATTCCTTAATTACCACTTACAATTGCATGAATGTGACTGGTTGAATTCCACTAATAATACCCATGTTGGATTTGATTGCCAAGAGGATAGAATCTGTCCTGTTCCATTCTTTCTCTTTATTTATTTATTTATTTTCTCTTGAATCGTAGATAAAAGAAACAGCTTTGAAAAAGTAATTGCCAAGTGACATTAAAATTATATGCCTAAAAATGCTGCAAATTCCACAAATACTTGTTAAAAAAGAGGCATGATCCCATACAATGATAATATAAAAGCAATTATGAAAAGCTCAATTCAATGAATCGCCGCAACCACTACTGAAAATCCCTTAAAACTAAGGTGGTAATTTATACATGAATTATATTTTCTTGCTAAGACATTATTTATACATGTTAAGAACGAATGCACAAAATTACCCACCCAAAAAAAGAGAAAGGAAAAAAAAATCACAATTTGCAGATTTCAACATTTTTCATCTCTCCTTTTAACCACCTTTTTTTTTAAGTACAAAACATCTTAAAACAATAATTTTTTTAAGTTGAGTTGTGGACAATTGCCCTCATTGCCTTGTGCTGAAGCAACTTAAGAACATAAATTTACAGGAAATTTGTACTGTACTAATCACTAAACATGTTACAGTCCTTCATTTGGTTACCAAGAAAGTTGAGGAAAATAAAATTTTAGAAAATATATAAATTTACTCTCTTTCCGTTATGAGAAATGGAAAGTATTTCCTCAGAAGCACCAAATAACTGCGTAAAGCTCAGCTAAGAAAACTGTTAAATCTTTTGCCTACAGTTTTCTCTCCGGCCAAACAGAGCAAGAAATTCAAATACCCAAAAGAAACATCTAAATCTTAGATTTGATTGATAATTTTAACCCCTCTCTCTGAAATGAAAACTAATTACCCAAATTTTACGGGTAGGTTAATAGGTAGGTCCTGCAAAAATTAATGACATTTTTTATTAAAAATGTCACTCAATTAAACGATTTAAATTATCGAGATGAGTCCAGAATAGGGCTGAAAATGGTCCAACAGTATCCTCCAATCCAATAATGGACTGAAGAGGAGCCAACTCCTAAAAAAATCATGGGTAAAGAAATTAACAGAAAATTATAATGTGATAATTCAGTTACAAGAATAACAGAATATATTTTGTGAAATGGTAAATTTGCACATGAATGAGAGTGGAATTAAATATATTTTGAGGCAGTGAGAGAGAGAGAGAGAGAGAGAGGGGATAAGTTTTACCTGATTTTGGGGATTGGGGAAGCATTGGAGAAGTGAAGTTTGATTTGGTTGTTGGTAGTAGAAGTGCTTTAGAGAGAGAAAGTGGAGTTGAAACAATTGAGATACGATCGAAGTCGCAGCTGAATATATTATTATATTTACAACTGTGGAGAGAGATTGAAGTTGTCTTCGTCAGCCATGGCGTCGTAGGCTGCGATAAAATATTCAAAACCGCCATCGTCATCTCTTTCTCCCTCCCTCCCTCTCTCTCTCTCTCTCTGTGTTGTGTATGTTTATGTATATATATATATATATATTTGTGTGTGTGAGTGAGTGAGTGAGTTAGAGACAGAGAAAGAGAGAGAAAAGCTACACGACAGTTAAACCGATCAGCTTTGGGTTGCTCCAAGGCCATAGAAGAACCATAGCTAACAAAAGTACGAAAATACCCTTTGTCTTGTTCCTCAAAAATTTTGGTTATCTTTGGACACGGTCAGCTACTGCCTAATGGCCAGGTTTGGTTAGGAGATTATGGAGTGGTATTGGAGTAGTAAAGAGCTGGATCTTAGATCATTTTTAATGGTTAAGTAAAATCATTATTAAATTTGAATTTGGTGGAAAAAAGTAACTTTTTTTGCTCTAACAGTTTCATCAAACTGATATCAAAATGAGAATCGCTCAAAAATTTCACTAAACTGAAAAGCTAAGCCGATTTCACTAAAACACTGTGCATATACGTTGGAGGTGAGTCTTACTGGACAACCAGTCGGACGTCCCACCGGTCGCCCCACAGGACGTCTCATCGGTCGTCCCTTGCATACAAAAAATGCCAAGCTCCTATGTAGTGCTTCAGTGTTTGGTTGGCCTGTGAACTGCTTCACAATTAGGTTGTTTTTGTAGCACTAACAATTTAATTCAAGATTGATGTAGATTTAATTTTCTATCAAAATGCAACATGGAAAAGTTCTGTATCGATTCGAAGTTATATATATACAGATTGATATTTTCATAGAGGATTCATTAATTGATATTTTTTCATCTACCTCAATATAGAGGATTCATTTATGTGTGTATATATATATATATATATATATTGTTTAAGGCAAAAATTTGTGAAAATTTACATTCACAGGTCGACCCACAGGTCATCCTCTAAATCCATTTCCATCATGTTCTCTTCTTGACTAACAATTAAATTATGTAAAGATATATAATTCGTATATATGCGCATTCTGAAGAATTCTCACTGTGGATATTCTGAAGAATTCTTGTTTGAATTGAGGAAACAAAAATGAAGGGAAACAAAATCAAAATAGAAATTGAGGGGGAGAAAAAATCAGTGACGTAACGGTTGATCGGCCGGTTGTCCGGTCGGTCATCCTACCGGACGTCTCCAGGCATTTGATGCAAGCAACAATGTCCACCGTTTGAGCAACTCGTATCAAATTGAAGAAAGAGCCTTTTTTCATCAGATTTGATTAAAAAAAAATAGTTCACCATTGGATATGCTCTTGTTATAACTTGTTTGGTGACTTCTTTGTGGAGATGTATTGCTACTCTAAGTGGCTTGCTAATCTCCCTCAATAAGGGGATTAGCTTTGGTGAATTTTGGATGAAATTAAGAAAATAGTGAGGAGATTGAATCTATTTTATATAAAATAAAATAAAAAAATTTCCAAGGGCACCAATTTGTTTTAATATATGTTTTAGTTTTTTTTTTTAATATAGAAATAATTTATTTATTTATTTTATATAAACATAATTTAACAATCTCATCATTAACCATTTCCCACACTATCATCAAAATAAATACACACTTTTACTTAATTCACTCACTAACAATTTACACATTAACAATTTCTTTACTAATAATCACATCTAACTTAATCTACCAAAACGTGGAGTATATTGATAGCGAGAGGATAGGATACAATTGTGTGTTAAATCATGAATAATAATAATAATCAGTGTGTTTGGTTTGAGTTTTTTGGATTAAGTTTTTTAAAAATTGAGTTTTTTGATTTTCGTGTTTTTTTATTTTTAGTGAATATTTTTAAATTTTTAAACATTTTTTTTATTTTTTTAGATTCACCTTACTTAGATGTATCTAAAAAGTAAAAAATTTGTGAAAATATATTTTAAAAAATTAATAAATACATAAAAATACAAAAATGTACTGAATTCTTGTATTTTTGTTATATTTTTGGTATTTAATGAATTTTAAAAGATTTTTTTTACAACCACATATTTTTTACTTTTTAAGTATACTTATGTTAGATATGTCTAAAAAGTAAAAAAAATTACTTAAAATATTAAAAAAATTCAGTTAAAAAAAAAAAAAACCGAAAAAAAATAAAAATTTTCTTAAAAAAATTTTTTTGAAAACAGAAACCAAGCAAAAGTGAATGGCGTTTAGTGATTGGTAGAGTGTTTTTGTCAAGTGAATGTATACTAATATATTTTTCAATTGAAGTGTTGTCTACCTATAATAATTTTTCAATTGAATGACAGGAAATGGTTTCAAATTTTCCAGCATGAAAAACAACTGGCAATAGCTATTAGAGGCTATAGATAACCAAATTTTATATTATCGGTGGGACCAATAGTTTGAATTTTGAACAATGAATAATGCCTTGGGACTCCCTTTTGGGGGTCACCCCTCACCCTTCTTTGTCACGTGGCGGTGGTGATTGAAGAGCAGGAAAAAAAAAAAAAAATTATAACCAATGAGAGACGAGGGGGGTCAAAGGGGGTGGGGGAAAAGGGGGATGAATCATTGTTGTTGAACAAATTTAGTTAAGGGTTCGGCTTCCTGTCCAAGTCCGGGATCGGATTGGTACGTGTTGTTGGGTCCGTGAAAGGCTATTTAATGGGTCTCGTTTTGAAAATCTGAACCGTTCAATGTGTAGGACTCTCGATACTACATGTTTAAAAAATCACGTTGATTGATATCGATAGCTATGTGATACAAATCTAAGTTCATTATGCATCTCGTGAACGGCTAAGAAAATAGCCATCAACCATAAGTTTCCAAAATAAGTTTAACTACATTATCAAACAATAAGTTATTAACTAAATAAAAAACAAATTAAAAAAAGCAATACAATTAAGAAGAGTTATATATTTTTTAATAATATTATACAAATTAATTTATTTATTAATTAAATATGTAGCAGGTCGGGATTGTGCCAAAAAGTAAAATTTCCAAACCAACCATTTATTAATCGGGCTTGAATATTAACTCAACCCAGCCCCTATGGGCTAAAATTAATATTCCCGAAGCCCTAAAAAATAAGATGTGGCTAAGTAGGTGGGCCAACGGGCCGATGTCCACGCCAGGTCTAACGCTTTAATACTTTGGCCATAAGACAAGTTTAGATAAAATAACCAAAATAACCATGTGTTATTATATATATATTGTATATTCGTTATGAGTGTAAAAATGACTCGCGGTTGAGGTGACTTAGACCTAATTTTCTAGACTCGTGCGCGAATAGGCCCCAACCCAAAATTTTAGCAAGAACTCCACGAGGCCCTGTGGCTGTGTCAGGCCAAATTTACACCCTATATTCCGGTTTAGTATATTTCACAAACCAAACAAACCAACCCCCCCCCCCCCTCTCTTCTCTCTCTCTCTCTCTCTTGCCCGTGATCTCTCATCTTTTCCGCCGCACCTCGGTCATCGATTTGTTAGTCTCTCATATTCTCCGTCACCCGTCCGTTGGTCTCTGCTCTATCTTTTCTGTCGTCCTCTTCAATCATCAATCATCTATCAGAAGTCGATACCATTGCTCAGATCTACCAATCACTTAAGATCTGTGACTAGTTGTCTCTTCTTTTTTTATCTCCGATTTGAAAATCTGTACGCTATCGCTTCCCTCAAAATCAGTTGCGGAAATCTACTTCTACATCTACATTGACGAAGAATCTGTTCGGTGAAATCCCACAAACAATCTCTCTCTTCTATGGCGAAGGAGACATAGGTTTATGGCGTGGAGTTTCGGGCGGCGAATTGGATGGTATTGAACTCATGTCGACGTTGTTTAGTGCTCGTTTTCTTCACAACTTTCTCTGTTTTCGATGTTTGCCTCAATGGCTAGCCCCAAATCAAGTGCAGATTCTCCATATATATCGATGAAAGATTCTGTAACGGTGCAGACTACATTCTAGCCAACAACCAATGTGTTTTTTAGCGCGAGAAAAATGAATTCAGAGCTACTAACTTTTACTTGAGCTTCCAATTCATCATGCATCATCTTGATCATCGTTGTCATCTCTCTTTTTGTGTCAGGTTGGTTTTGGTTGGCAAGGAAACTGATAAGAAAATCGTTAGAAATTTTTTAATCTTTTTGTGTGATCATTTTGATTTGGTTTCAAGTTTCAAACAAGTTATTGACATCTAATTTTTTTTTTTTGTTTATTTTCCCACTTTTTCTGAGCAACAAACGCCCAAAAACAAAGTATTTGATCGATTCTTAAGAAAGTCGCAATGATTTGTTCACAATTGAGCCCATTTTTTTAAACACTCGTGATGTTGTCAAAAGATAATTGGTTATTGAATTTGCGAGGTTATTGAAGCTCTCTTCTTCCTCAATTGGAGAACATTCTCTGGAATTTTCTTTCATTAATTAAATACAACTCTGTTGAATTAGTTTCCTCTTGGATCTTTTATCGGAATTCGCTAGCAATCTCTTTTGTTTGATGTTTTTTTTTTTTTTTGGGGTCCAATCTGCTCTCTCAGTGAATTTACATATGGAATGGATATATAAATATTGTAATGTCATTTGCACAGATAAAAAGAACGATATAGATATGTAGGTTATATGAATGCATGTAATATGCAACAGATAAGAAATAGACAGATACGAAAAATTGGCTTGGTATTTCAATAGATCACTTTTTGAATTTCAATAGATAGCTTTGTATTATTTTAACAGAAACAAAATTTGGTTGAACAGAAGTTTTGGTATTTGAATAGATAGTTTGGTGAACAAATAATTTTTCACTCTCATCTCTCCTTATTTGCACAAACCAAAAAATAAAACATATATATTAAAATAATTTCAACAAATAGAAAAAAAAAAATTATTAACTATATTAAATTTGACAGGTTAAGAAGGAAAAAATTGAACAGATAGTTAGAGATTAAAACAAATAGATATAAATTTAATAGATAGTCAAAAAATTAAAATAAATATGTCAAAAAAGTCAACAAAAAATTAAAATGGTAAAATTAAAAACAAATGTCCTGTAAAACAAATAAAAATTTCTTAGCAAACTATTTTCACAAATTGTGATTTTC